AATCAGAAATGTTTTTCCTTTTATAAGATAGTCTAGACCCATGATTGTTGAGGTGGTATGAAAAAAAGGTAGCAAAACGTGTGATTTCGCTTTCTAACTTTAGGAAATTAACCCACTTAATAGACAGGGCTTCTCACTCCCGGTGTCTGAATGGCACGCAGCAAAGTGGAGAGCCTCTCTTTGCTGAGATGCAGCAGAATGAGATGGCCATGTTGTGTGTCAGGGTTCGCCTTGTTTCGGAGAGATGGGAATCTTTATTGAAAGAGCTCCCTTTTTTGATTTCCGGATCAGGCCCTGAGCAGTTGATAAGGGAGAATTACTTGGCCATTATCAGAAGTAGTTGTATTTCCACAAAGAGCTGGCACTAAACAACAGTTTATCTCTACGACAAGACTGATAGAATTCACACAGATTATAATTCAATCAGACACCTGAAACAGCACATATATTGGTTGGTGGCCTATGTGCAAACCTCTGTCCTCCAGCCACAGCAAAAGAAATACCTGGGGAATAGTTCCTGTCACCTGAAAACTGGGAATAAATGTTAGAGAGTGCTGCGCTTGGTTGCTACAGGCTCTGTCTCTATACAATCCATAATAATATTTTTATATAAATGTAATCCTAACAGAATGCCATTAGCCCAAAGAGTCAACTATCTGTGACCTTTGCAACCATTTGCTAAAACACTCCCAAAAGGTTTAATGTGCTTTTCAAAGTATATCTCTTAGACTTAAGAAATACTGTCTTCCTAGCAGCCAGCACGTCTTGCTGTCCTCTTTGAAAGCTGGGGAAACTGACAAATGAAGATGAACGGTGAATTCAAAATAGATTTTGAGCAAAGCTTCAGTCCTATTTGGAACACCAACCTCTGAAAGTATTTTGCCAACTATTGGGATTATTTTTCACAACAAAAAGGAGAAGAATGTAGGGTTCAGGGGCTTGATTCTAGCATGAGGCAGCTTGGGGTTAGCTAAGGCACTGGCTCCATCACTCACTAGTTGTGAATCCTTAAGCAAACTTCTTAACTGCTCTGGGGCTAATTTCCTCATCTGTAAAGTGGGGATAATGAGAATATCTAATCTGTAGAGGGATTGTGAAGATCTAACGGAATAATATGGCAATGCAAACAAATACAGTACTTGGCACATGGTAAGTAGGTGATAAATATTACTTGCCATTGTTATTAACACAGAGTGGCCCAAATTCAGTGAGTCAGAGGCCTTGGAACAAGTACACACTAATATATTCTATAACCAAGTTCCCATCAATATTGTGATCTGGTGTTAATTTGCCAACTATTATGTTTCTGTTCTGCCTTTAATTTTCTAAGTTCCTCCTTAGTTTGCCATCAAATAGAAGGAGAACAACTAGAAAAAGAAATGATGCTCTTGTACCCATGAGGCATTTCATAGCTTTGTATTTTTATCCCCAGTGACACAGAAGCTAATGGACCATTTCTAGTGGGGACAGTCAGAAGAGTCCTCTGCATGGGCACAAATCTGACAAAAGGGAGGCTCTCTGTCTACCAAGCAGAATGTGGGGCATATAATTGCTGCGTTTTGCCACCAGCATTTGATTGCAGGTGGGGAAAATGGAATGTGAAGGCAGAGTTCCTCCCCCCATGGCGCAGGTTTGGAAGTCATCACTACTTGTAGACGCCCCTTTGTGAACTTCAGGAAGGGGATCAGCTTGCTGAAACAGTCTCCTCATTGGCCTTCCTGCTCCCCCTCTGGTCCCCATCTGGTCTAGTCTCAACCCAGCAACCAGAGGGATCCCTTCATTCTATGGGTCAGATTCCATCCCTTCATCTTCAAAACCCTCCAGTGGCCCCCAGCTCACTCAGAGTAAAAGCTGACATCCTGCCAATGTCCTGTAAGGCCCTGCCTGATCTGGCCCCAGGTCTCATTCCCACATCTTCCAGTCACACCGGCCTCATTGTTATTCCTGGAAAACACCGGGCCTGGAATGCCCTTCCATCAACAATGGGGCTTCCCCTGGCCACTGCAGCACCTACCTGCAATCCTCATTAGTCTTTGCCTGCTCTTCCAGGCATTTATCCTCTTCCAGCATGCTGAGTAGCTTTCTGACTTAATTATGTTTATTGTTTGTGATCTGTAGCAAGAATGTAAGCTGCATGCAAGTAGGGGCTTTTATCACTTTTGTTCATTGATATATCATAAGTGTCTGTAAGAGTGCCTTGCGCCTAGCAAGTGCTTGATATGTATTTGTTGGATGAATGAATGAATGGATGAATAAATGAACACATACTCATGCAGGCTCCTAGCTCCCAGCAACCACAGCCATCTCCATGGGAAGAGCAACTGGCCAGGGTACAAAATGGTGGGCAGTGACTTGTTTCCAGAGCATAAAACCTCCTGTTTGTGCCATGCAGATGCAAACAGGCTTGCTTCTTTCTTCCAGTGCCAGTCTGAAAATGCACTGCAGATTTTGCTCATTAAAAAAAAAAAAAAAATTAAAAAACCCCAAAACTTCCAGTGCCTTTTGCAGAACTTCAGCCCAAGCTAAACTGTCACATTTCAAGAAATCTGCATTCTTGTCATGTGTCCATCCATTAATGAGCTCGGAGGCTCTGAGAAAGACAATTAGCTTCACTGGGATCCAGTAAAATAAATGACAACTAATTTTCTTTCCAGCTTAAAAAAATCTCAGCATTAGGAAAAAGGTGAAAAAAAGTCAAGCCCTGCTTGACCACTCCTCTCCTTCCTCAGCCAATGATTTGTAATATATATACCCAAATTTTAATAGTTCAGCCTAATAAGAAAACTATCCTGTCTGGCCCATCTCACAAAAGGAATGATATTAATAGTTACGTGTGACTCATCTGGAAATAGTTGTACTACCTCAAGTGATAAGCCAGAGGTGATTCCAAAGCTGTATTAATGCTTTCTTTTAATCTGGAGCCATAGCTCTGACCAAACCAAAAAATGCTTCTGCAGACAGTATCAAAATAGCTATCATTCTCCCCTTGTCATCTGCTGCAGCTTGGAGTAAGGCAGGGGTCATTGCTAAAATGTTAGATTCCTGGCAGTATAAAAGTCCTTTGGGAACACAGAGATATTTAAACTTGTGCCATCTCATCGTATCCTGCTGAACATGCAGGCCACGGGGAAACTGACTCTCACGAGTATCTGTAGCAATTATTGGTTTGAACCAATAATTGCAGTAGTAATAATCATAATCATAGCAACCAAGTTTGTACCAATAATATCACTTTCATTCATAAAACAACTATTTTGTCAGCATCACATGCCCAGCCCCTTCCTAGTGTTGAGGAAGACACTGAGATGCAAAAGACACATTCCTTGTCCTCAGAGCCTGTCTATATGAGGAGCAAAGACAGCCCAATGAGAAGCAATTAAGAAGGACATGAATAAAAGTTTCCAAAGTTAAATTACTGAAATTACTACCCAGAAACAAATATCTTCAACATTATTGGCGTACATTATTCTAGACATCCCCGTCATGTTAATATATGTATATATATATTTTTTTCCTTTTTCTTTCTTTTTTTGACAAAAAAAAGTACTATATCTAATCATAGCCTCTAAAAAAGCTCTTAAAAACCCTTACTATAATTGTTCACATTCATCCATTTGTAAACATAGATCTACATCATTTTAACTGGCTGAATATTGTCCCTTAATGGATTTACTTAAGTGATTCCCTATTAGTTAGCATCTACATATATTTTTATGTAGTTACCCAAATATTCATTTAGGATACATTCCTGTGTGTGAAAATACTGGGTCAAAAGTAAGGCATTTTCTTTGGGAGATTAAATATAGATATAGATACAGATATAGATATATCTGTGTGTGTGTGTGTGTGTGTGTGTGTGTGTGTGTGTGTGTTCCAACTGTCCTTGCGTAAAGTTGTACCAACATTCTTTTCAAGCAGGGGGCGTGAATGTCCATTCTGAGTATATCATTAAAAAAAAACCTTTGCCAATCTCCTGGGTAAGAAGTGGTATCTAATTCTTGTTTTCTTTTGCATTTAGATTGTCAGTAAGATTACACTTTATTGGTAATTGATATTTATTACTTTGTTAATTGCTGCCTTGTCTTAACTCAATCTTTCTATTAATCATTTCACATATTTTCTTACTGATTTATAAAAGCTCTTCATCTCTAAAGGCTACTGAATTCCTTCTCATCATATATTTCTTAAATTAGCTATTTGCATTTTTTACTTTGATTACTGCATTTTCTGTATTTTTTATATTGTAAAGAACTTACATTCAATATTAGATCCTGAATCTTTAATGACGGACATCAAAGAAGTCTTTAAAATATACCTGAATTCAATACCAGCTTGCTCTAAAATATACCTGAATACAACTATAACCATAGATCTACACACATTTTTAAACGTACTCAAATATTTTTTGAACTTTCATTTTTCACAGTAAAATCTTTTAAAAATTGTTATTAGTTTTTCATGTTTCCTTTTGTCCTTTATTTTATATTCACTATTTCATCTTTTACAGCAAAATTGTCTATGGACAATTAGTTTTGTGGCGAAACTGCCTGAAGCAAAGATGTTTAAGCCAAAATACAGGACATGAGTTTACTTCTCTGTAAACCTTAGTTTTGTCATACAAAAAAATGAAGATAATAATAATGTCTACCTCAAAGAGCTGGAATAAATGATAAGATTCATTAAAAGCAAACAGCATGGTACCTAAAGTATAATAAAAACTCAATAAAGGTAGTCATTAGTGGGAAAAAAACCAGAGAACCTAACAACTAGCTTTAGGGACGGTCCACGTTAAGGGATAGGAGATAGAGAGTTATTCAAGGAAATGGGAGAAAATGTCGAAAACACAATTTATGGATATCATGGAGTAAAGGATTTCAAAGAACAACTGAACCTAGGAATGAGGATAGAGAAATGCATTTCAGTAATGAGGATAGAGAAATGCATATTCGGTCCTGGGTGTTTCCTATGTAAGAAAAGCAAATTTGGGCAGCACTACATACCCAAAGTTGGTCATCCATGCCTGGTGGGTTCTTTTTGATAAAAGCACCATAGTATGTAGCAATATTCCGGTGATGAGAATATTTCTTCAACATGTTAATTTCTTGTTTGATTTCTTCCTCTTCATCCTATATTAGAACAATAAATATTGTCATGAAAATCCAGTGTCTTTAGTAAGATTCTGTTTTTCATCACCATCTGTATCAACTATGCAATAATTTCTTTCTTAAGTTTTTTCTTCTGTGGTGACAAACAAGCATAATTACCATATAACTTGACTTTCTTCCTTGGCTACAAAGAAAAAATTTACAAGATAACACATTGGCAGTCCAAGGGGGTCTTCTGTTTGTACAGCAAACCAATATAGCAGGCAACCTGCTAGGAAAAAAAAAAAAATTCCTCATCCTTTCACCTGGAAGAGATTAAGGTAGACAAGCTATTAAGATAAAACTCACTCTAGGCCTCTGGGTACTATGTCCATCAAGTACCTATCACTGATCATACCTGGTATAGGGAAGATTAAGAAAAGTGAAAAGAAAAAAAATACAGCCTCTTCGACTTAAAATTCGTTAGGTTCATTTTCTTTGAAGTCTCCTTTTATTGAAGTCCCTGATGGAAGATGATGAAAGTCAGATGGGAAAGGGAGCAGGGGTAAGTTCCCTCCATCTGAGGATGTTCACAAAGCAGGAGTACCCATCTCACCTTCAGGAAAGTACACATGAAAAGAAAGGGGACATGTGGTAGTGCCACGAATGTGAAAAGAAAGAACCCTCCTACAGAGTAAGTTTCCTAATTCAGATTTCACTCATTCCCAGTTTCAATTTGGAGTCCACTAACTTGGGCCTTTTAAAGAGAACCTGATATCACTGGTGAAGAGTGTGTGTGTCCTCCCATAATTTTTTTAATTTATTTATTTGGCTGCGCCGGGCCTTAGTTGCAGCACGCGGGATCTAGTTCCCTGATTAGGGATTGAACCCAGGTGCCCTGCACTGGGAGTGTGGAGTCTTAACCACTGGACCACCAGGGAAGTCTCTCATAATTTTACTTTGAAATGTACACATCAGTTGGACTTTTACATAGTATTTTATTCTTGAGGTTGGTGGAAAAAATTTCTAGCCCAGGAAAACTGTTTTAGATGCAGCAGTAAGAATCTCTGCGTGTAAGATGTTACACGGCCATTGCCTGAAAGACCATTCATGGCGTGTCCCTGTCTGTACCCTCACCTCCTCCAGCTACTTGGTCTCTACGTTGCTGGGCCCTTCTGTGGGCTCCCATGAGTGTCTTCTTTCCCCTTCCTCTTCTTCACATAATTTCTACTCATCCTTCCTGACTGAGTTTAATGGACACTCTTGAGGGATGTTTTCCCTAATTCTCTCGGGTAATGTCAAGTCTCCCCACTATATCCTGTCCACCCCCAAACCTGCACACACATTTGTTGGTACTAGAACAGAGGTATGGGTCATACTGTGTCATAATTGCCCTTTTACTTGACTCCCTTCTCCATGGCTTGTAAGCTCTCTTCTGCCTTCAGATCTCAGTTCCAGGATCCCTTCCCCAGCAAAGTTCTCTGATCTGCCTGCCTGTGGTTCTAGCCCCAGGGATCTTCACGTGTCTCTTCCTTTGCAGCACCTACCAGAACAGCAATCCACGCTTATCTATCTAAACATTTGATTGAAGCCTCTCTTCCCTGTCAATCCGTAAAAACTATCAACACAGGGATCCTGCCTGCTTTTGCTCTTTATAAATAACATCCTAGCATCAAGCAAACTGCCTGTGAATAAATATGAATAAAAGAATGAATACCTAATAAAGTTCCAACCACTTACAGCAGCGTTCCTTACAGCTTGAAAGGAACTGGTAAAAATAAGAGGAGGAGAGTGGTGAAACGCTGACATTTACTGACCACACAAAAATAAGTTTTAGTAAAAAGCAATGGAGGTTTGCAAACCTAGGAGAACGCAGTATGTTACATATGACGTGGCTTAACTAAGTCAAAGACTAGGTAGTCTCAAAATAGAATGTATGCTTGGGATGCTGAGCTAAGAAGAAGCACGTGGCCTTAACAAAGGAGGGGAGGAGAGGGGTGAGGGGCTGGGATGGGGGCAGGGGATGGCACATGCTGACCAAAGAAATCTTCCCTGCGGCTATCAGAAACTGCCTACGCCTTCACTGCAAGCCTAAGGAGACTGACCTTCACAGTCCTTCAACTTGTTGCAGGGTCCTGCAGCAGGCCTCCAAATGTCTGACGATTGTGCATGTTAGCTATTTTAAACCCACCACGCAGGGCCTGATAATCGTGGATGAATATAGGATGTGAGCAGATGTACTTTAGGGAAGCCTAGATAAAAGGGGAGAAAACAAACCTGAGGGTTTCTGGGGCAGTCTGGCATCTGCTTTCGATTAAAGAGGCAAGCACATGAGACAGTAAAACACCCGTCATTTTCCAGCGGCCGCTGGACAGACCCAGCTTGGGTCATTCTTAGTGAGAAGCGGGGCTGGTTCTACAAGTATTTGCTGCCTGCCTCAGGTTCTCAACGGGATGGTGGCTGATGCCAGGAGAAAGAGAGGAGGAAAAAGTGCCTAAAAAAGCTCACCATATCATTAAGGAAACAAGAACTTATGAAACAGTTAAATAACAGTGTGATTCAGGATATAATTAAATCCAAAATAAACAGTACTGGAGACCAGAATGAAGTCAGCATGTTCTCCATGGCTTTGCAAAGGTAAACTGAGGCAACGTGGTAATGAAGAAAGCATATGCATTAAGTCAGGAAAATGAGGGGTGGCAGGTGGGGTGCATGTTCAGCTTGAGCTCCACTCCTTTCTGGCCGCATGATCTCAGGAAAGCAGCCTACCTTTTGGAGGCTAATTTTTCTCATCTATAAGGAGATACAGATTTTATAATAGTATCAATATTATTATATGTCCCAATCTTCTGTGAAAACTAAATGAAGTATGTGAAAGTTATAAAATATAATACAAAATAAACATTATTATTAATCTTCTCAACCAATAAATAAATAACAAAGGTAGGAGAGGGCAGGAATGTAAGTATCTTGAGTTTTAGGTTTAAATTGTTTAAATTCCAAACAGTTATGGAACCACTGTGGATCATGGTTATGTAGCTCTAATATATAACCTTGTTCTTGATCTTATATGGCCTTGTAAGTGAGTGTGAAATTTATCAGGCCTTCAGGGCTACTGTTTATCCAGATTTCAAGACTAGTGCAATGATGGCCTTAAGTTACTCAGTGAAACTGAAAGGGAGGCACTTATTATGACCATAAGAACACATTTAACCCCTTCATAAGCAGTCCAACCTCTTACAATACGGCTCATTGAAGGAGATGGGTTACGATGCTTTCAAAAGGACAAAACAACAACTGAGGCTAGAATTAGATTACAAAGTTATAAGAAGCTTATCTTCTGTTTTGTAAATGAATTATTCTTATATCTTGGGAATTGAGCACAGGGATCAAGCTCACTGGGAAACTAATGACCACTGGGTCATAGTGAAAAACAAAGTCATGGTACCAAATTGTCACAAATGTTAAAAGGGAGTAATTTTAGTAAGCTAAGTCCAATACTCTAGGAAGAACCATGATCTCAATCAGAAGACTTCAAAATCTTGTCCAAGCTGACTTATTATGTAAAGTCAGGCACGGCCATTTAAACTCTCCGAATGCCAGTTATTTTCACCTGTAAGTGGGAAAATGGATACCTATCAAAGTCACCTCCTAAGGCTTAGAAATGATTAAGTGCTTATGTAAGCACAGCTTTATTATCAACATAAAGAAGACTGTCTTTTCTCAAGATGACGAGAATCTATTTATTGCTTACTATTTGTGGTAGACTAAAAGGAAAAACGGCCCGATATGTGGCAGCCTCCAACCTGAAGAGGTGGAGTTCATTTCCTCTGCTTGTCTCTGGGCTTGGCCATGTGATCTGCTTTGGCCAACGGGACATTAGGAAATGCGACGCAGCAGAGACTTGAAAAGTATTTGTGTGTAGGGATGGACTTCTCTTACTGCTTGTAGAGAACACTTTTATGTGAAAAACGAGAACCAGCCTCCTGGAAGATGATAAAACAGGTGAAGAGACAGTGCTTTTCAAATGCAAGGAAACGGATGATCCCAGACAATGCTTTCAAGCCACCGGCCACCTCTGATGACTATATGATGATCACAACCGTGGTCATAAAATATAGCCAAAGCCAACCTTATGTTTTGTCCCAGAGGTCGTATGTGTATCATCTCATTTAATATTCAAAACGGCTCTATGAAGTACATGTTTTTAATGATCCCATTGAACAAATAAGGAAAATGAGTTTCAGAGAGTTTATTCCTATTTTAAATGTTACAGCTAAGATCCAAAGCCAAGATTCGTCTGACTTCAAAGTCAGTCCTCTTAATTCTAAACTGAAAACTGCTAGACAGAAGAAAGGCAATTACCTACGGTGATAAAACCAAAGCTTCTAAATCATGAAAGAAGAGTTTAGGAGCACCTTAAGCCAGGGCTGAAGAGAAACCTGCCTTTGGTCCTCCAATTAAAGGAGCTTGTTAGCACACACTAATATTTGCTTATGAATGATTCCAGGGGATAAAGGAGGGATTTTAAGTTGCATGTTTATTACACAGGGGAATATACTTTAAGCACCTACAATATAGTAGGATTTAAAAACGGCATTAACGAGACACTTCATATTACTGTGCTCTATAACAAAGGGTTTTGCCCAACGTTCAGCTCTCAACCCATGGAAGAGGAATAAACCTCTGTAATTCTTACAACAATCCAAGGGACTGGTCAGTTTGAACTCTCAAGGAAGTATGAGGTGTAGAGACTCATAAATGCGACTACACCCTGAGGTTCGGACACTGGCTAGAACCACTTCTGTTCCTGCTCACCTGTCCTTCTCTCCACAGTGGTTGCTGGCATTAGGCAGGTTTTTGTGTTAACATGTCTACCATTTTCACCTTCGTCGCTGACTGAATGTGATAAAAAATTGAAGACGAGTTATTGTTAAAGAATCATAGACGATTAGAATTTGTAGGGATTACTAACATCTTCTAAAATGTGATTTAAAAAAGAAACTTAATAATTTATAGCACTAAAATCCCTTTCTCCAACA